TATAGAATTGAAGGTGCAGTCGTGAAAATAGGAAAGATAATTATTTTACCATCAAGTAGTTTTTATATTGAATTACTTGAAGCAAATTACACATAAAATTATTTTTTTTACAGTAATATAGAATATATAAAATGAATTCTCTATATTCGTGAATTAAAAAAAAAATAGGTAGCTCAACTATACATATTTACAACAATATTCAAAATGTTATGTTCTAAATCTATGGTCAAAAATATAGAACAGTCAATGAATGAAAATAAAATATATGTTTCAAAAAATAAAATATTTGCATTTTAGATTATAATATATATAAGTAACGTTTCTATGGTGATCTGTACACGCCAGTATGCAGATGTTTTACGTAAAGAAAAGAGAACAATAAACCGTCTGACTAACTAACTTTATTTCAATCCTTTTATTTATAGTTACATATATTTACATAATTCCTGACAGCGTAAAAATTTACATCTATTAATATTTTATAAGAAGAATGTGACATATATATATCTTATATAAATAGAAAATAGATTTTATGCTTGAATTTAGATCATGTTGTGGATTATGGTAATGATGATGCAGTCGTGGTCAATAATAATCTTGAAAATATAAAGTCTAATAATAAAAATGGTTTTGACCAGTAAATGCTTTAATTGAGATAAAGGAATATACAAAAAAAAAAAAAACAATTTGATAAAAGTACTGCCTGGCTTAAGGCGAGCAGAATAAGGAAAACAAAAGATTATTTACATAATGTACAAAAGTTTTGAGCCGGCCAACGGGAAAAAAACAACAACGAGTTTTTATAGGGGAAGCGTGACCTCTGGCGGTCGATTTAGCAGAGTATTTGAATCTATGAAATTATAATTTTAAATAAAATAAAATTTTCATATAACATATATATGTCATATAATCACAATCATCTATAAAATAGCGTATAAAGAAATTTTAAATTATCTTTGTGGAAATATGAGAGAAAAACTTGTGAATAGAAATTATTATAAGAATATAAACTATTTTTGACGCGTATAATTCTTTTTGAATTAAAACAATATTCTACTGCCCTTACTGCAATGATAAAATAATGGGAGGACCTGGCTCATCAGTGGTGAACCCTCCCAGCAGTTTCACCAGTTTAATCTACCATCATTTATATACAATTATTATGCCTTGTTAGATAACACTGTCTTATGTAATGCATTGTCTTCTAACACAAAGGTCGTTCAACCTGGGAACTTAGGAGTCCATTGCTTCGTCCACACTCGAGGAAGAATATAAAATCTACTGGATTCCATGGGTATTTATTTATTTATTTCAACGCACAAAACGCGATATCCCGGCTAGGGGTAATTGCGTCGATTTACATTTTTTAAAACAGTTATAAACATATTATACAAGAAAAAGTAATCAAAAATAAAAAGAGAAACAATAATATATATTAGGAACCTGAACCTTTCAGGTTAGAAAGATAATCATAAATATATTTACAGTAATAGTTAAATCTATGATAATTCTCTCTGCTATTTACAAATTGATATAGATCTACAACATTGTTTACTGTCTATTTTCTAGCGGTGAAGAAGATTGGGCATTTCAATAGTAGTTGTCTTGAGTCCTGGAATTTGTTGCCACAATGAAGCTAGAGTCTTCAACCGCTCCAATTTTTGATTAAAATTTCTTAAAATTTCCATGGTTCGTTGTAAACTGGGTATTATAAAATTGGAACGGAAAATGGTTATTGGGCAGAACTCCCCTACATCGTCACTCTGACCTTTGTTGGACCTATGACCTTCCTTCTATCTCACAGGTTCCTGAGTGCGTCCTTGCTGCTTACAACTCACCACAAAATTTACATCTATATAACTGCCATAGATTTGGCCCAGCCACTTTCCCAGCTAAACACCTCTTTGGCGGATTGTGAAGATTCCATTAGGTATCTTATGGATCTCATGGAATAAAATCCGCCCTAGGCTAACGAGGGCCATTAGTCCGAAACCATGGTCTCTAGGTGGACGCTTCTCAGTTTGCCAAAGCTGGTGTTGTGGCTTTGTCACTGACCCGAGGCCGCTACTTTGCGGCGACTAGTTTGGGCGTTTTTCACGATGTCCATTCACGTTCAACTTCAATGTGCAGCGTCCTTTGGTTTTGACAACTTTATCTTCAGTAACTTTCCATACAATGTCGGCCTCGGCAAATATAGTATTTTTATTTATACACTGAACCGCTCGTATATAACAGAGTAGGGGGCTCCAGAATCTACCAGAGCCCGTATTGTGTCGCCTTCAATTTCAACCTCAATGTAGTTGCTCGTCATTTTACGACTGTCGGCAGGGGAGGAATTCTAGGTTGTGCAGCGGCCTCACCTCCATTCGAGAGCGCAGCTCTTAGTTTTCCGATTGAGGACGTCGAGGTGACTGACTCGCCCGTCTAGTAGCGCTGCGACCAGGGGAATTTCCTCGTCTAGGGAATAGGTGAGGGCCAGCGATAACGTCTGGTGCTGTCCTTTGAGTAGCGTCATTTGAGTCATTGTTGCGTCCGGAGTTTGTCATTGTCCTAGCCCGATCTTGGTATATTTTGTCTCTTCTCTCATCAAACAGCCTCCTCCTGTCGCGGCAATAGCGAACAACGTGGCCTGGGCCGTCCACAGTGGAAGCACACCGGCGTGCCGTCTGGGGTCCTCCACTCATTAGTGTCCCGTACTCCATCTCTCGAGCGCCTTGATTAGACCTTAGGTGCATACCAGATGTTCCTTCTATAGTTTCGTGGTGCTGACGTCGCCGCCGCTTCCGTTGGAAAGGTATTTATTCCCGACAGGGGATCGAGGACTTTGTCGACTTCCTCCTTTACAATTTCTTCAAGGGAAGAGGTTCTTGGTTCTTCACGTGGTGGTGCTAGGGCCCGCTGTACTTCTTCTCTAACGATCTGTCTTATCAGAGACTGTAGATCCGTCGCGTATCCCAGGTCACCGAGCAAAGTAACATTGGGCAAGCGCTCGAATTTTGAGGCTGTCACTAGCCGTCCTTGGAGCGCCTCAACGCAGCGACACTCTGCGATAAATTGATCTGTCGTTGTTATGTCCCTCGGCAGAAGATACCGGTAAACTTCCTCTGATACTCCATCAGATGTGATAGTCTCTCCGGCATCTGAGCATCTACTTCCCTGCAGAGGTCCACAACATCTTGATTGTAAAACTCGGTGATCACACCTCTTTGCTGTGTACTCGAGTTTTTCTCAGATTTCATTCTTAAATTTCTTTTTTTTTTCAAATGCGCTTTCCAAAAGGGATGTGAACTCTTCCCGTGTACTAATTCTTTCCTCGTTATTCTCGAACCACTTGAGAGCAGTTCCTTTGAGGTAGTAGAAGTATGTATTGGCGAGACAGAGAGTTTCGTCCCCCCCCCCCCCCCCCCGCCTCCCAAAAAAGCTAGAGATACTTGGATCGTTACCCAGCATCTCCACCAGTTGTAGAGTAGGAAATGATAAGTAACCCAAAATATTGGAGAACAAAATATTTATTCTATCTCCGAAGAAATAACTAAAAAAAAAAATTAATCAAAAAAAGGCGATGTTACAGAATTCGCATAATATTTTTTATTGCCCAAAATTTACCTACTCCTTATTTACATCTCACAATCTAGATATATTTATTCATTACTTATGTTTTGTTTATATTTTATGCTAAAGTTGTCCTCTGTGTGTTTCTAGGTAAGTTTGGAGAACGCCAAGTTCTTTCTGTAGCGATGCTCTCTCTGTAAAGGTATTTTAAAACACATTTTATAAATTAAATGAAATCGATAAACCACGAATGTTTCTTTTAATCATAAAACAAACTTCTACTATCCTTTCTATGATGAAAAATATAGTGGGAAGACTTGGCTCATCAGTGGTGAACCTTCCCAGCGGTTTCGCCACTTTAATATGATAAAAGCTTATTTCCATAGTTTACTTGAATACCATTTCAAAATTTCCACCTTTATGTGTAACATATATAAGCAGAATGATCCAATACAGTATTGGTGAAACCGCTGGGAAGGTTCACCACTGATGAACCAAAGCTTCCCAATATTTTTTCATTGCAAACGGACAGTAGAATTTTATTTTATGTATAAAAGCAAATTTCGTGCTTCATTGATTCTTATATGTAGATATCGCGGTATTTCCTTATAACAGTTTATAAAAGAAAGGTCACCTCTCCAGTCAAAATAAACACTTAAACTAACCCCATTTATTGACCGTCTCCGCTAACTAGCAGACTCGGGTCAGTGCTGCTACACCAACTTTGGTAAAGTCAGAGAGTCCACTTTAGTTTAAGTATTTATTTTGACGGTAGAGGTATTGTAATCTCGGAAAATATAAACATACACTCATGAACAAAACTTAAGAAAGTGGAAAGTCTTTATATCGCCAGTCGCCAGTTTTTTTTTTTTTTTTAAAGGAGACAGGTAATTTTGTTCACATTTGGTTATCATTATGTCTTCAATAAAGGTCACTGTAATATCTTTCAGAGTTATTGTCTGAATTACCCTATATACATGCTAAAAGGTACAACTCCTTAAGTTTGTACATGTACATTGTACATGTGTTTTAGGATTGTTGTAAGATCGATTGAAAAGCACCATATCCTGAATACAAATGACTCAAACACTGGAACTAAAAATCCAATTTATTTTTAGATTTCAAGTTTTAATTAAAATATTTAATTTAAAAGATTCCACAAATACGCGACCTTAATTAAAATAAGTCTAGCTTTCACGCGATACACTCTTCCTCAAGCCTATACATACTTACATATACATACTTCCTGGTGTGTATTTAGATAATATAAAGGCGTACACTCATGGACAAAGTGTACCTTTTACCATATATATCGGGATTCAGACAATTGCTTTGAAATATATTACAGTGACCTTTATTGAAAACTAGCCGAATGACCCGGGCAACGCCCGTGTTTTACCCGATTGAATGTTTTGATTCAAATACTATTTGTTACAATTATAAATTGTGGTCATGTGGCCTAGTGGTCATGGCATCTGCCCGGTAAGCGGAAGGTCGTGGGTTCGATTCCCATCCCTTGACAATTTTTTTATTTTATCCATTCTGACCAAAATCTATCCGTGAACTTCACACAGTGAACTCCACACAGACAGAATAAGGCAATTATATAAGTAGATATACGAGATAACCAAGTGTGAACAAAATTGCCTCTGTCCCTTTAAAAAAATGAAAAACAGACGACTGGAATCATCAGAATACGAAACTTTCTTAAATTTTGTAAATTATATATTTTTTTCTAATTTAAATTGTTTACCCTATGAGGCGCCGAGTCTGTTGATACAAAATAAATAAGTTTTTATTCCTTAACAGAGGTTGGCGTTCAGCCAACCGAAATATTGGTAAATAAAACCTTTTTTAAATCTCTACTACCCACGTGGCCATGATAATCATGGTAGGTAGCACTTGGTGACTGCTTCGAAATCTGCGCTTTAAAATGTTCCCGGTTTGGTTACTTGCTGGTAGGATTGAACTTTGCAAGAATTGGGGGCCATTGGAGAATTTTATTTTAATTAGAAAAAAGTGCGCAACGCGGGATTCGATCCTGTCAAAAAACGACGGTTTATAACACTTCCCCACCGACGCAACCCAAAATTAAACCTTTTTTTTCCAATCCATTATATTCCTTTTGTTATCTAAATATTTATTTATGGATGGCTGGTATTTTCACGAAACTAGCAAGTATGCTCAGGTAAAGACATGAAAAAGCGCCTGTTTTGAAAGCTAGTTAAGATTTTAATAAAAGTAGAACTAGAAGAAAGATCACATTAAAGCACGAATATTTATTTTAAACATAAACAAACCTCTTTTGTCCTTACTGCGATTAAAAATCAGTGGCGAACTATCCCAGCGGTTTCGCTAATTTATTCCACCAGATCGCTTCTTAGAGTTCTAATACTGTATTGGACGATTCTGCTTATATATGCTACACTGAAGGGTAGAATCTTAGAAATGGTTTCAAGAAAACTAAGCTTTTAGGACAGTAGAATTACATATAAATGTAACGTATATGTAAAATAATAATAAATTATTGTTTTATCAAGAAAATAGGTTGGCCAAATATCATGGAACAGGTTAAATCAACGTTTAGTTCATTTCTGTTACACTAGATGGCGCTCTGCCATCTAAAAAGTTCATGGGCTCGTGGTCAGGATATGCCTTTTTTGAATTTAATATAAAGATATGTTATATAAAAATGTTATTTTATTTTAAAATTATATATAATTCCCAGATCAAATTACTCTGTAAAGTCGACCGCCAGATGTCGCGACTTTCCCCTATATAAAACCCATTGTTGTTTCCCGTTGGCTGGCTCAAACCTTTTGTACATTATGCAAATAAGTATTTTGTTTTTCTTATTCTACTCGCCTTAAGTCAGGCAGTACCTTTCTCAAATTATGTATTCTTCATTAGCACAATTAAAGCAAATTGTGAATCAACTTTTATTTTATTAATATTATGTTCCACGACTGCGTACCACAATACTTATGTATACCAAAATCAAGCAAATGCTCAACAATTCCAATCCTTAAACAACCTTAGCAAATTCTCTATATCAAACAAATTTATCATCATAAAATATATACATTTAAATATAAAGTATAACTGGGGAATATCGTTAACATATTGTGGAATCATTTAATTTAAAGTTTTACTGACGACTTTTTAGGTAAAGGTAAATTTAAATATTTATTCAATACTTTTAGTCAGCCCAAAATTTTTATGACAAAAATAGAAGTTAGTTTCTCGTTAAAAACTCTGCCTAAATTCTAATCTGACAGGATATTGGCAGCTAGACGTTATCTCCCAATATTGTTAGAAATTGACGTACACAATATTTTTTCCTTTCTTCTGTACTTGCTTCACTTTTATTTTCTCTTCTCTGCTACAATTTGTTTCTAAGCTTATGTCCAAAGCCTACCTCACGCGGACGAAGGCCAACAGCGCGGAACGCGTTCTTGGATGGCTTTTCTTGATTTATTAAGAAATTGTGTTGGCCAAATATCAGGGAACAGGATAAATCAATGTTTAGTCGATTTCTGTTCCACCAGATGGCGCTCTGCCATCTGAAAAGTACATAGGTTCACTAAACACCCCTAAGCTGTCTTCAATAAAAAAAAACAGGGTATATCCCAAACCAAACCAATACAACAATATAAAGAAGTCGGTGGACGTGTGGGTAACACCCTCGATTCCTGACAGTCATGAACTGGGATCGAATCCCGCGTTAGCATTTTATTTGTTGTTGTCATGTCCAATGAAGAGCCTCAGATGTCTTCATGCATCTCTATCACAGCAGCAGCAATGTCCACTATCTTGGTGCTCTTCATTGGAAAATGGGTGCTGTTACCACGTTAGTCACCTTGGACCAGAATTTGGTCAAATATTCCAAGGGTCCAGGGAGGACCGCAGGGAGGTGTGGTCGGACTTCTCCCCCCCCCCCCCCCCCCCAACATTTTATTTACTATGTGAATGACCTTCACATATTATTCATTGTTGCAAATATCATAAACTAGATTTCTCTTGTTGAGCGGTACCTAATAAAGTGATTTTGGAACCGGAATCCAATACAATAGTAGAGCGGTCTAGAGATTAATTTGGCGAAACCGCTGAGAGGGTTCACTACTGATGAGCCAAGCTCTCTCATTCAATAACTTATATCATTGCAGTAAGGTCTGTAGAGATATTATTTGATGATATTATTGGAAAGAAACACATTGCTAGTAAATTTATTTGTTACAAATCTTAACGATAGATGGCAATCAAATATATAAATTTGTTTCTATTTTCATTGATGAGGATTCTATGACATTACAATGATAAATATTAAATATAGTAGACATTAGAGCGCCATCTATATATAATAAATTGAACTATTTAGCGCAAATTTTAACAATAAAACTGTTTTCTACTGTTTTTAAAGCGATGGAAAATATTGGGATGGTCTGAACATTTAATTTCACCCCATGAAGATAAAAAGACCTTTAGATTTTAAACTATTTTATTGAAATCCGTTAATGACAAAGCAGGTTGTTTTTGTTTCTTATTCCTCAAGTCGTTTAAACGATCTCCAGCATTGTCTCAGCTTTTCTATTATAGTCCTGGGGTTTTCCCAGAGGTCTTTTTATGGTAAAACATACACATTATATATATAGTAAGATGGAATCTATAAATACACGAATATATATATGTTATATCAATTTTTTTTATCTTTTTTTAAATCAAATTTTCTTGTCGGCCGCCAAATATATATATATATATATAAATATATTAGATAATAAAAGGCATATATTGGATTTTATAAAATATTTATTTTGCCAATATATCGGCTGGCTGAACGCCAACCTTTATCGAGGCATTACATTTTTGTATACTGAGATTGGGGTTGTGTTTTTTGTTGCCAAGTGTTTAATTTTTTTGATTGAATGTTGCGAATAGCAGAGGCTTTATTTTGACATTTGATATCTAAGCACTTATAAAATTTGTCAAATACTTCATCATTTAAAATTCTTTTTAGTTTAGGAATTAATTGATCAATATTTTAAATTTTATTGCCATCTATCGTTAAAATTTTACACAAATTAATTTACTGGCAATGCGTTTCTTTTAAATATAATCAAATATTATATCTACAGATCTGTAGATATAATATTTGATTATATTTAAAAGAAACGCATTGCCAGTAAATTAATTTGTGATCAATATTTAATTGTAATTTGTTTAAATTATAATGACAATTTTTTATTCTAGCATTTGAAAGTTTCTTACCTGTTTCAAATAATATTTTTCTAGAATAATTTGTGCGGACAGGATCTTTTAAAATTAAAGAAGGTGGAATTATGTTTGCGGCGAGACACTGGTGATTAAAATGTAAGTGTAATTTCCAACTGTTGATAGAAAGTCTAAGCCTTTCCATTGTTCTGGCTAGGCGAAGCGCGTCGGTACCAAAACTGGTTAAAATCGTTTTGAAAATAGAGCAATCCATTTTTATTTCATTAGATAATAAAAGGCATATATTGGATTTTATAAAATATTTATTTTGCCAATATTTCGTATACAAAAATGTAATGCCTCGATAAAGGTTGGCGTTCAGCCAGCCGAAATATTGGCAAAATAAATATTTTATAAAATCCAATATATGCCTTTTATTATCTAATGAATTAAGTATGGATTGCTCTATTTTCAAAACAATATAAATATATAGCGCCGCTTTATATAAATCCATTGTTGATGGTTTCGTTTGGCTGGTAAAACCATTTTGTAAATATGTAAATATGTAATTTAATCTTTTATCTCTTCTTCACGCCTCTATATGCAATTATATTGTTATAGGGTTCTCTCTTTCTCCACACTGATAAGCCATACCCTTCCACTTTCAATTGTAATTTATTGCAGAATAAAAGGTATGTAGAAATACATTTTAATTCTATTTAAAATGAAAATTATAGTTTAAAAATATGTTTATAATTGTCAACTAGATAGATTGTAAAAAATAATACAAATGTGATATTGTACTGGGATAAGGTGCATAAATTTTGAAATAGGCATCTCCTTATGCCCGAAATGCGTACGTGGTTAGCTTTTCTTGATTAATCAAGAATGGGTAATTGGCCAATTCTGGAATATTTAGAAATCAACGAGAATAGTTGATATTTATTCCGATAGATGGCGCAAGCCATCAGCAACTTTCAGTTGCACGATAAAGAGATGCATTTTTCATAATACATAGATTGTGTTAAGTTAATGATGGTATTTTATACAATTATATGTTGGAATGGAGCAATCCATTTTAAATTCATTAAATTAAACGGCTATATTTTTTAGATCAATAGTATTTATTGAGAACAAAATTGAATAATTCAACGAGAGGCTGTTCGCCTATCTTTCAGGATTCAAATAAGCTTACAAGAAGTTGGAATCCTAGAATAAGATAGGCGAACAGCCTTGTCTAAATATTCCAATTTTGTTTTTATTAAATACACAATTGATCTATAAGATAGGCGTTTCATTTAATACAATTATATAT